CAGTGCAGCAAGTGGTGTGAGTGGGGGGAAGTCACGAAAGAAGCAACGTGACGCACCTGAATCAAGTGTGAAAGTGTGCAAGGCCTCAGCTGAGGAAGGACCTATGGCGGGAGACGCACGAGCACCTAAAGCTGCAGCAGAATCACTAGCACCTAGTGCTGCAGCAGACTCACTAGCACCTAGTGCGGCAGCAGACTCACTAGCACCTAGTGCAGCAGCCTCGACAGAACCAGTGACACATTGCTGAGGAAACAACTCACTAAGCACCTGAGGGGAAAAGGTCTCCTGCTGACTCTGCTGCCGCCTCTGTGCAGTACGTAGAAAACCAAAGCCTCCACCACCTGGACGGGCTCGCTGAAGAACCCACTCGCGAAGCTGCTGAGGGGTGGGGTCGTCCGGGAGAGGCAGTGACCGCCGTTGTCCACCCCTAGCCGCTGCAACTGCCGTGATAGTGGCCATGACAGGCAGTGACGGTCAGTAGTAGGTCCAGCACCTCTGGCACCAGCAGCACCTCCAGCACTCCCAGTCGCACCTCCGGCACCAGCAGCACCTCCAGCACCCCCAGCATCAGCAGCACTCCCAGCACTCCCAGCAGCACCTCCACCAGCAACAGCAGTAGCACGAGCAGCAGCAGCAGCAGCAGTAGTGGCAGCAGGGCGGCTCGGTGGGGCTGGTGATCAAGGTAGGGCAGGGCGGCTCGGGCTGGGCGGCGCGGCTCGGCCGGGCAGGGCGTGCGGTGGACAGGGCAGCAGGGCGCGCGCTGTGCAGGGCAGCAGGGCGCAACGCGAGGGGCAGCAGAGCGCGACGCGCTGGCTGCAGTAGGGCGCGACGCGCTGGCTGCAGCAGGGCGCGATGCGCAGGGCAGCAGAGCGCGACATGCTGGCTGCAGTAGGGCGCGACGCGCTGGCTGCAGCAGGGCGTGACGCGTAGGGCAGCAGGGCGGGACGCGCTGGCTGCAGCAGGGCGTGAGGCGCGGAGCAGCAGAGCGCGACGCGCGGGCTGCAGCAGGGCGCGACGTGCAGGCTGCAGCAGGGCGTGAGGCGCGGAGCAGTAGAGCCCGACGCGCGGGCTGCAGCAGGGCGCGACGTGTGGGGGGGGGGGGGGCAGGCAGTGCGAGTAGCTGCAGGCAGCGCTACACTGTGCGAGCAGGGCCGGACAGCGCAAGGGCGCTTCGGGCAGGAACAAGCGAAACTATCGGTGGGCCCTAAAAACTTAACAAGTTTCCTGCTCTGAATACCATGTCATAATAACTGTGCAGGAATGATTGGATAAGCAAGAGTTGGGGTACAAGTACTAACCCTAGAAGTGCTGTACCCCATAAGGAGTGCCCCACTATAGCCTACAAGTAAGATTGTACTTTGACAGTGGCGGCGGCCTAAGGCAGCAGCACGCTGCTACTGCTGCTGCTGCTCGCGGTCCAAAGGCAACGGTGAGTGTTTTTGTTGACGCGCGGGAGGCGCGGGCTCAATACTTGAGATAACATTCATACTAGAAAAATGTACACTGAGTTTTCATGATTTTTTTTTCATAAATTAATTATTATCTGAAAAAAAACAATAACACTCTGGATCAACCCTGATTTTCAGAGTTCCCGAAAAAAACAACCCTGAAAACCAGAATATGTAGATCTTTTCTATCCGAGTGGTAGGGCTTCCTTGCCCGTAGTTATGAAACATTCTGTAGCGAGTACATCAGTTCTTAAACGATTGTCATGTGCCGTCGCATACCACTTCTCAGGAGCCAGCGAATGAGAGCAAGTTCAGGTGCGATCGCGTATGCGACGAATGGAGTTGGTCGAGCGACGACAAATCAGTTGAGGGCTGATGCAACCAGTGGATACGAGAGATCGTCCATGCACCCCCAGATTTAGATATGCTCGCAAACGTCGCACCAGGCTCACATCACATGATTTCTTGCAGGTGCCTACTAACTCCGTAAATCAGAGCTAGGGGAGGGAGCAGCTGCGAACGTGGCTGATGAGTTCATCACGCCACCAGATTAGGCCTTCCATTCCATCAGCAGGGAAGTAAAAAGCGCGAGTTTCGGCCAATGAGGTGCTCACAACGCATTCGTCTAGGACCCACATGGGTGGGTCCCCGTGCACGGGTAGCTTTGAACGGTGTGGCATTATCACGGCACCATCCCAGATTGCGTGGCCGATGCGAGGCGTTTTTTGGACATCTGCACCTGCCGCTGTTAGTGAATGGGAGAATATATCCAGGCGATGAACGATAAGCTCAGCTTGTGATGTCGAGTCGCCAGGTCGACTCGATGTCTGCTCGGGTAATCAGCAGATTGCTATCAGCCGCACATTACGGCTCGGAAGGTTATTGTTCTGCACCTAGCTCTTTTTCTTAGACTTATGGGAGAACCGAAGCGCGTCTCTGCATCCCAAGCAGCTTTCCTCTGTTCGACGGCTGCTTATATTCGACCATCAAGGATATGCAACCGCAGTGTCGAACCGGCAGGCAGCAATTGCCCATTTTGATTGTAAAGATTTAATTCGCACGTCTCTTCGTTGTCTCCTCATCGGTTTCCCTCACCCCTGACGTCTGAGGAATCACGGAGCATCTGCTTTCCAATCACTACCTCAACGGTCACATCATTCGCGTCGCGCCAGAATCGTCACACCCGGAATGCGCCGCACTTCCTTATCAGAGCTGTTCCGACATCAAATATATTCTCTGCATCAACGAGCCGGGAACCAGTCGCATCAAGCGACCATTCCTTACGCAAAAAATATCACGATGATTTTGACAACGGTGGCAACGTCAGAGCGGCAAGCGCGGGCTTCGCCGCGTCAGTGCCGCCTCGCGCTGCTGCTGCTCGTCGTTTCAGCCGCGGCCGCGTCGATCCCCTCCGTGGAGTCCATCCGGCCGAATGAGTTGTTTCGCGCGATTTCTGCCTTGAAGGTGCACCGCAAGTTCAGGCCATACGCGTTTCACATGCGGTTCCTGCGAGGTTCGCGAACGTCGCCAATGGCTGGAGGTGGAGGTGGAGGTGGAGGAGGCGGAGGGGACGGGGGCGGCGGAGATGGCGGGAAAGGAAAGGATGTTCCTGCTTACGTGAAATTCACTGAAGAGATGTGTAAGTGTACAACCTTTGTATCTTGCCCTCACCCTCCGTCTTCTCTCACCCTCCCTACCTTTTGAGCTTCCTCTTTCGCACTCGCTCGCCATCACTTGCTCTCTCACTCGCTCTCACTCGCCCTCTCGTTCACTACCCCATTCGTTCACTACTCGTTCACTACCCCTCTCGATCGCTCCCCCTTTCATTCGCTCCCCCTCTCGTTTGCTCCCGGCCCTCACTTGCTCCCGCCCCTCACTCGCTCCTGCCCTCCCCTCACTCGCTCTCGCTTCTCACTCGGTTTCGCCCCTCTTATTCATCCTCGCCTCCTCTCACTCACTCTTGGCCCTTTCGCTCTCTCGTGCCCCAATTCGCTTACTCTGAATCTTTCCCACACACGCATTCTCGCCCCCACACACTCGCTCTCGCCCCCTCCCGCGCACTCTAGCACCTGTCCGCCTGCTTTCTCCTTCTTCCCCTCTCTCCCGCATTCTCCCTCTCTCCTTGTTGCTGCATTGTGCACATTCTCTCTTGCCTCTTCCTTCATATGTGTCTCCCTCCGTTCCTTTCTCACCTGTCCGTTTCATTATCCTGCAGTGCTCACAGCAGCAAAAGAAGAAGGCCCCATGACAATCTTGATCCCTCTAGATGTCACCGAGTACTACACTTCAATGAAGGACTACACTGCAGAAGAGCGTGAGACGATAAAGAAGTACCATATGATACCAAAACAGTACAAGAAGCTAAAGAAGGAGAAGGCAGGTTACAAGATAAAGACGAAGGTGGATGGGCAGAAGATATCTAAGGGCGTGTAACTTTTTCCGTTTTAGGCAAATGTCCGGACGGAGCCCCAAAACCGTCCGAACGGAGCTCCGTCCGGACGGATGGGGAGGTGGTTCGGACGATGAAGCGTCCGTACCACAATTGTGACACTTTTTTGCAGTTTCGAAATTTAAGTTTTGAGCGAAACAGTAACGCGCATAACCTCCCTCGCCAGCACATCGCCCAGCTCGCAAGCATGCAGTTTGGGCTCGGTAATGTTTGAGGTTTCCAACTACCCACTTCGTCCTCTTGCTCGCGTTACTGTGAGTACAACACACAAACTGAAAGTTGGGAGTGGGAAATCGAGTTGCCAAAATTGTGCCTCGCGCGCCAATGAGGTTGCAGGAGTTCCGGACGGTCCGAAATGCTGTCCGGACGGTCTCAGCAGCGTAGAACGGACGATGAACTGACAGAAAAGTGTCAGATTTTGTACGGACCATCGCGACGTCGCGAGGGGCCGTGCGAATTCTTTCACGAATCCTGGCGAACGGTGTAACCCTACAAAAGTCCGGACGGGGCTTCCGTCCGGACGATGAAAAGTAAAAAAGTTACACGCCCTAGAATGACGGGATACTTTCCCTGGTATTGTCCTGATGAGGAAGAAGGGCATGCCCTCTATCATGGTGGGAGGCGATGTGTTTGTGGGAGAGACCTTAGCCATTCACCTTGTAACATCTATGTTGTTTCCGAAATTTAAATAAATTTGCGCACATCTTCTCATTCTGATGACAGCATCCTTCTACTGTCAAACATTTCACCTCTGCATACTGGAAATCATTGTCCTAAGCACAATCAGGAAGTTTTGATTCAAGCAAAGTGCTGTGACAGAAAATCGAATTAAAGCAATTATTACAACTCCATCAGCAATACAAGATTGTGCAATACTGCTACCGGTAGAAGAGAAGCAAGAGAGACAGCCTTAATCCTTTCCACTAACTAAGGTAGTGCATCCACATCTACAGGTACACAGATAACCCTCCCCAGTTCCCAGCTTTAGGGTACATTCATGGCGAGAGGCGTCACAAAAGCAGTGTATCAATGCATTGCACCGCACCTACCATTGCTATGTTTGCACCACACTGTCTTCTGTGAAGCCCGCCAGGGATGTACTCCTAAGACTTCATCTCAGCTATCTGCCCTTCATGCGACCGATGTGCACGAGCACTGGCAGTTCATGGGAGAGCTGCCATTAGCACACGTGCACTGGCAATTCATCTTCGTCGTTCCCGGGGTTGGTGGCGGCGATGGTGTTGGGGGAGGCGGTGACGGTGATGGGGGAGGAGGAGAAGGTGAGGGCGTGGGCGCGCTGGCCGGAAGAGAATTCTGGTTGACACACTTCTGCAGCTGACTGTCCCAGTTCTGCTGCACAAGGAACTTCATTCCATTTAGTCCAACCATGTTATAAATGTAACCGTTTGAGCTGAGTGTAGTTCCGTAACTCCAGGCGCACAGATCCCCATTCTCCTCCCCACCCGCGTCGAACCAGCCAGACTGCACATCCGGGTCCGTAGCAGCTTCGGTAATTTCGTGCGCGAGCGTTGAAATGGTGGCGTCTATAGCGGGGTTGCCATTGGGGGAGGTGCTCTTTACGCCGCACGAGTTGGGGCACTGGGCGTGGTGACCCACGAACGCGTAGTAGAACGGGGATGACCCGATATAGTCGGTGGTGTGCCATCCGCAGTATTGGCTGCAGAAGCCTGACGAGAGAGTCACGTCCTTGCTCGTTAGAAGCACGTAGATCCCGTGCGGGTCGTACGCGAAGGCCTTGCCAGATCCAATTTTGCTCTTGACGACTGCGATGGACACGGCAGAAAATGGTAGAAGAACAAAATTCAGTCGAAGCTTGCTACGCCAGCGCACACCCTCATGAAATGGTGAAAGCACACAGTAGGGAGCAAGACGGGCGGCGTACTTTCTATGACAGCATTTACAAGACAACAACAAAAGAAAGAGGAAAGATAGCAAGGTCAGGGAGAAAGGGCTTACCGGAGAGCACGTAGTTGTCGGTGAGCGCCTTGCCGTACGAGTAGTTGTCGTACGTCGTCCCCGCGAGCCGCACCTTGGAGCTCACGTTCTTCTTCGCCCCGCTGCTCGACTGATAGTAGTTCGACGTGATCGCCCACCAACCCTTCACCGTCGGGTCGCTCGACGAGCCCTGCGCGCCCGAGTCGCTACTTAAAGACCTAACGAAGTTGTCGATGTAGTCCTGGCCGGACCCCGACGGCCAGCTGCCGTAGTAGATATGGTAGATGTTCACCGTGGGGTTACCGGCTACGATGGGACCTCCCCAGTACTTAATGGGCCCGCCAGTTGCGGCGGGGGTTACGGCGCCGCGGAGCTGACTGAAGAGGCCCTGGGAGTTCGAGCTCAAAGCCGCGGCTCGTGCTCGAAGGCGCTGCGCCGCGTGGGCTTGGACGGTGAGAGCGATTCTTTTTTACAGACGCGGTGCAGCTGACGACGCGACGGCGTGAGAGACGAGGAGCAGGAGGAGAACGGGGAGCAGACGAGTAGAGGTCATTGCGGCTGTGCGGAAAGTGTGGGAGGCGGCGGAGAAGCGCGGTACGGCGATAGTAGGGGACGAGGAACGGGAGGGACGGATGCGAACAACTTCTGTAGGCGTTGTGCACACGTGCCAATCGGAATGTGATTGGGATGTTTGGCTGAGTGTCGTTGCGCTACGGACGGTGTGGGCGACACGCGGGAACGGTTGGGTAAAACGGTTAGGGTCGCGTGAGCTGAGTGATAATCGGCGGGAATGAGTTACTAACTCGGAGAGGAGCTGCGGGCGAGATCGGGGAGGTTCGGAGGAAATTCGGCAATGCTTTCGAAGAATGCAGCAGTGAAGGATGGTGGCTTAGAAATGGCTGGATGCTGTGAGTTTTAGACGCAATGGCCAAGGATATACTATCTCCTTGATGGAAGATAAGGCAACGGATTCCCTTATACATAAGCTGCGGAAGGCCTTCTCAATTCTCATGTGTGGCTGTATGACCCGACATGATCGAAGGGAAAGCAGCACAAGATTGGCGGGTGTGGCGTGTGGTGCGCTTCGTCCCACCTATCATCTGTACAGCGTACTGTATTGCGGCATTTCCACGTTCTGTTTTTGCTGAGTTCGGTTGGTGTAGGGTTGAGTTGTTGGTGGTCGTGGATACGTCGCCCACGTCATGAAGCGGTAACTGGGAGTACAGAACGATACACCGAGTCCTCGCCAATTTCACGTCCCCTGAGATTTTCCATAAATCACCCTTGACCGTTTTTACTTTAGGGACCAGACATTCAGGAACTATAGGCTATTCGTGACATTGTTTAGTGTCGATCGCGCGAAAATCTAACTCAGTGGCTGCAACGCAAGTAGTGGATCTTCCGTTGCGACCATGTTTAGGGTTTTCCTCCTGACTCGTGTGGGTAGTCTCGAACATTTTCCTACTTAAAGCCTAATCTTTCCGAATGACCTCCGATTTCGGGTAAACCAGAAAGGATTGCTCAGGGGTGTGAAATTGGTGGTATTGATGGAGATCCTCCACACCCCTCCCCCCTCCCCAACCAATACATGCACTGTACACACACACACACCCAGTTGTGCTGCAGAAGCGTTCTGCTATGGGGTGGTTGTTGTCCGTCGGTGGGTGCCTGAAATTCCATGCGCATCTTGAAACCCTGCCCGCAGAATCCGCAAGAATATTGCCCGATCTGCTGTCGGGGGAGATGTGGTTGCTTTGCTGCTGTGAAAGGGTGAACAATTCAACGTTTTTCCACGCAGTGACCCGAGCCGCAACGCGTGAGGTGTCCAGCTCATCCAACCCCATGTCACATTTGCCTGGCAAGGCGGTTCGGCCGAGCTGGCGAGAATAACTCTGGGTGGGTGGAGGGACAGGTTTGATTTGTTGGAGCTGGCAAAGCAGAAAAATGTGGAACGAAGTACAGCGTGGTCGTTAACAAGTTTTTTTACTTTGAAACCTACTTCTATTTAAAGCCAGTAGACTTTGGATGTACTCACTTTTTAAGTGCAAAGGCATCCTTAAAAAATAATCATTTGCAAAGCATGTGAAGCCGAGCTACCTCGTTTTTGTAGGCAAGGTAGACTGGCTGGCTAGGGAAGTTGGCGCGCGACACTCCTCCGTTTTTAGCCCCAGCATCAATTGCAAAACAAATTTCAGATACGTGTGGCTTTCGAAAAGTCTCAACATGTCTGGCATTAAGGGTGTTGCGATCAGAAAGTTGATCGAACCTAGGATCACCTCAGGAAGGTTCGCAGAGGGTGTGTTGCAGCGAAAGTATTGACCTCAGGTCATAATGAATATACAATAACAGGGATAATTAAAACAAAGTCATACAAAGGTTTATGTCATAGTACAAAGAAATATGAAACGACATAGACTAGCCATGTACTCTAAGGGGTACATTCCCTTATTGCAGCGAAACTTAACCGTGCGACTCCAGACTGCTACAAACATGTTCCCGCCACAATCCCTGCCGCTACAGCTGCCAGATTGTGAGAAGGATTGACGAGAAAGAATGAGGATGATTGCACTAGAAAGCATTGGGATACATATAGCAAACCCTAACAGGGTTGTACTCACTACAGAGTACCTCACTGCAGACTAGAGAAACATAATATTCTGACACACCCCCATAGTCAAAGTGGGGTATGATCAGCACAACAAGCAAAGCAAAGCAAGCTCAGGGTGGATCACAATGTCACCACACATTCTGAGCACAAATACAAGAAGTAACAGTTTAAAGTTCACAATAAATAAGTAAAGCTAGAGGCTATCACAGAGGGCAAGTGAGGAGGAGGAGGCTGGACTAATAGGAGAGGAGAGAGGAGGCAACGGCGGAAGCTGCAGACACACGGGCAACAGGAGCGGCGCGCACTGTGGCTACCGGAGGCGCACCTCCGGACTACAGGAGTAACTGGCTCCGCGGCTAAGACGAGCGGCAGGAGCAACGGACCCACGGGCGACTGGCGCAGCGGCATCACTGGGCTACCGGAAGCGCACCTCCGGACTACTGGCACTGCTAGCAACACGACGGCTACCTCCACCCAACCTCCCTCTACTGCCGCACCCCCCATTCACACACCCCCTGCTGCACCCCTAGGTTCACTCACACTCCACCCCCTAGCACCACTCCGTCGACTCACACACACCCACCCCCCTCAGCGGCAGCTGCAGCAGTGGGAGACGGAGTAGGAGGAGGAGCAGGGGATGCCACACACCCGCCACCCCCATACCCTCCCCCACTGGTGCACCTGCAGCAGGGGATGGAGGAGAAGGGGGGGGGGGTGCTGTGCATGGCGCGTGCAGAGGGCAGCAGGGCGCACGGGGCGCACAGGGCAGCAGGGCAGCAGGGGGCGCAGCAGGGCTGGCGGGTTGGCCACACCCGCCACCCCCATACCCTCCCCCACTGCTGCACCCGCAGCAGAGAGATGAGGGGGGGGGCGGGGGGGGCAGGCAGGTGCTGCAGGTCCCCTCCCCCCACTGCCGCATCCGCTCCAGGGGGATGGCAGATCCCCTCCCCCCCACTGCTGCACCCGCAGCAGGGGGAGGGAGAGGAGAAAAGGGCGGAGAGGAGGGGGGGGGGGGGGGGGGGGGGCTGGTGCCGCAGAGCCCCTCCCCCCCCACTGCTGCACCCGCAGCAGGGGGGAGGTAGGAGAAGGGGCGGGGGGGGGGGCGGGGGGGGCAGGCAGGTGCTGCAGGTCCCCTCCCCCCACTGCCGCATCCGCTCCAGGGGGATGGCAGATGCCCTCCCCCCCACTGCTGCACCCGCAGCAGGGGGAGGGAGAGGAGAAAAGGGCGGAGAGGAGGGGGTCCAGGGGCGGCTGCTCCAGGGGCCAGGGGCCAGGGGCGGCTGCTGAGGTCCAGGAGCGGCTGCACCAGGGGCGGCTGCTCCAGGGGCGGCTGCTCCAGGTCCAGGGGCGGCTGCTCCAGGGGCGGCTGCACCAGGGGCGGCTGCTCCAGGGGCCAGGGGCGGCTGCTCCGGGTCCAGGGGCGGCTGCTCCAGGGGCGGCTGCACCAGGGGCGGCTGCTCCAGGGGCCAGGGGCCAGGGGCGGCTGCTGAGGTCCAGGAGCGGCTGCACCAGGGGCGGCTGCTCCAGGGGCGGCTGCTCCAGGGGCGGCTGCTCCAGGTCCAGGGGCGGCTGCTCCAGGGGCGGCTGCACCAGGGGCGGCTGCTCCAGGGGCGGCTGCTCCAGGGGCCAGGGGCGGCTGCTCCGGGTCCAGGGGCGGCTGCTCCAGGGGCGGCTGCACCAGGGGCGGCTGCTCCGACGCGCAGCCCCCCCCAGGTCGCCCCTCCCGTCGCCCGGTGAGGCGACCTGAGGGGGGGGGGCAGCATGCGGCCCCCCCCAGGTCGCCCCTCCCGTCGCCTTACGAGGCGACCTGGGGGGGGGGGGGGCGCGCGCGGCCGCCCCCAGGTCGCCACGTAAGGCGACGGGAAAGGGGGGGGGGGGGCGGTGCGCGGGCCCCCGGTGCGCCGGTGCAGGCACGAGGGGGGCGGGGCCTGGGCAGGGTCGGGGCATGGCAGGGGCAGGGCCGCGATAGGGCCGCGACAGGGTCGGGGCAGGGCCGTGACAGGCTCGGGACATGGGGCGGCGCCGGGCGACGGGGCCGATACGGGGGGGGGCCGCGACGGGGGCCTGCGATAGGGGGCCTCGACGGTGGGCCGAGACGAGGGGCCGCGACAGGGTCGGGACAGGGCCGGGGTCGGGGCAGGTCCGGGACGGGGCCGCGACAGGGTCGGGGCAGGTCCGGGACAGGCCGCGAAGGGGCCGCGACAGGCCTAACGGGCCGCGAAGGGGCCGCTACAGGTCGTGAAGGGGGCCGCGAAGGGGCCTAACTGGCCGCGAAGGGGCCGCGACGGAGGCCTAACGGGCCGAGAAAAAAGGGGGCCGCGACGGGCCTAACGGGCCGCGAAGGGGGCCGCGTCGGGTCGTAAAGGGGGGCCACGAAGGGGCCTAACGGGCCGCGAAGGGGCCGCGACGGGGACCTAACGGGCCACGAAAGGGGCCGCGACGGGGGCCTAACGGGCCGCGAAGGGGGCCTAACGGGCCGCGAAGGGGCCTAACGGGCCGCGAAGGGGTCGCGACGGGGGCCTAAGGGGCCGCGAAAGGGGCCGCGACGGGCCTAATGGGCCGCCAAGGGGGGCCGCGAAGAGGCCTAACGGGCCACGAAGGGGACGCGACGGGTGTGAGAAGGATTGACGAAAGAATAAATAAACTAGAAAATGAGATGGGTGCAAGTAGGAAACACATAAGTGTTGTACCCTCTAAGAGCTACCCCACTACAGCCTAAATAGACCATAGCAGATATAAGTTTGACACACCCCCATAGGCAAAGTGGGGGAGAACAAGAG